GCTACAATCATGCAACCACAATACCGCAATCGACACCACTTCATGATCTTCGGCGGTTTCCTTCTCAAGCAAACCTTCGAGCTTGCCTTCACTGCCGCCGCCGCTTTCGCACACGCCCGTCCCACCTTCGTCTCCCTCGATCCCTCTACGTTCCAGAACCCTGTGCCTGTAGGCAGCATACTATATCTGACCGCCACGGTCGTATATACAGACCCACCCCTAATTGGCGCACCCGACGAGAAGGTCGACGAACAAGCCGGGTACACACGTGTGCAGATTAGAATCGATTCCAAGGTCCGTGATGTTGAGCATGGCCACTCTAAGCCTACTGGCCAGTTCAATTACACGTTTACCGTGCCAAAGAACATTAGGGTTATGCCCAGAACATATCAGGAATTCATGATGTACATTGATGCGAGAAGGCGAGCTGAGCAGGTCAAGCGTACGCTGGAAGAAGGATATGGGGTTAGCCCGAAGACGGCGGAGGACAGTTTGACGGAGTAAGACTTGGGTCACACATGCTGGAGAACAGTATTAGACGTCGACACGTCACTGAACATCATACAATTGACAGTGTATACTGTAATTGAACTCATACCCATAGTATAAACATATCGATCAAGATTTCCGAGCATCCCAAACGCCTCCCAAAAGCGTTCCATCGCAAATGCAGCTCTACAGCCGGTACGTGCGCCTGCATGCGCCGATAACGCTTGACTCAAACAAGGAAGAGGTATAGCGCGTTTAATACAGACTTGAAAACGTGAAAGGAAAGTACCGCGTGGGATGGTTATGCATGAGACTGAGTGTGCATGCATGCATCGATGAGGCGGTGAGCAAAGTCCGACCAATAACTCCGACGGCATACGCGTGCCGGAACGACGCTATGCGCAAGGAGAACACGACGTGTGAACGCACCTGCATGGCAAGTCAGTACCTCGTGTCCTTCTAGTCTTCCATCCTACAAGCAATCGGCCGGACACGTCTCCCCGCCTCCGCAGGCCGCACGCCCACCCCCATAACCCGCTCTTCTGCATCTCGCTTGGGGGGAAGAAGAATGAAGCGTACCTAACCTGACCGGCCCGTCCATGTCCATCATCCACCATTACTCGCTCTACAGCTCATCCAACTCAAACTCCAAAGCAACGTCTTCCGAGCAGTCCGTGCAATAGTAGTTTGAGAAGCCGCCGCATTCAATCTTCATCTTGGAACACATGTCGATGGACCAGGCGTCATAGGAATATCCCGAAAGGAGGCGGGAAGAGCAGACTTCTATGCTGTTGGCCCTGGAGGTTTGTCAGTCAAGGGGTTGGCAGGAAGTTGTGGAAGGGAGGGAAGTACCAGATGTAATAGTCGTGGTTGCAGTAGTACCATGAGTAGGTATAGGAGCACATGTTGATGGTTTATTCTGGTTTATTCGTGGGAATCCGTGCGATGGCTGTTGTGCTGTGCTGCTATGGATAATACTGTCCGGATGGGCCTTGTATATCTCAACAGTCTATATACACGTTAGCTGACCGCTTCTTCTTCCCCTGTAGATCTCTCTTCGTTATATGTCTCCTTGGACTATGGTTCCGCGGGAGGGAGTGTGGAGTTCTAGACCCGGTATTGTAGTCGTGGCTCCAACAAAGCTATATGCAGGGCTTGCTGTTCAGCTAGCTTTACTTACCTAGATGTAGCCTCTTTTCGAAAAGAAAGTAGCCTTGGCAATGATTCGAGATATACCTGCTTGTTCGGCAATCGACTGCGTGCTTCAAATCCGCTTTCTTGATCTCGCAGTCAAGTCTTCTTCAGGTCTAAGGATATAGAAGTACTCCGGAGGTGCTTCTGCAAGACAGCATCGGCCCTTTATGCTCATCCCGAGGCCTGCAGTCTGACTCCTAACAAAAGCTTGGGCCGACGGCTCATTGCAGATACGCCGATATGCTCGAAAGCATTCCCCGGATTAGCTGATAAGGTGAAGCGGTCCCTTCCAACCAACCACATCTTCGTGTTTCCAAGATTGGAAGCCGAGCCGGGGGATAGATCCATGGCCCATGCGTGAAGTTCGGCTGTACGTGGAGAAGGCGGTGGAGGGAGGCCCTGCGTATGTCAGATTGAATGAGATCTTCAGCTTGAAGATTGTGTGCGTCAAGTATATGTATGGAGGCTTTCTGTGAAACTACAAGGTCGCATGGACGATTTCATACGCTGTCTGGACACCTCAGGTGTGCGTATCTCGCGTTCCAGCGAGGAAAAGGTATGTCAAGACACCCCAGACTTTCCATCTCGCCGATAGCCGGTTGGACCCTGCGTCTGCGGTACGTGCATGCAGGGTCCCTACGCTAACTCTATCGGGTCGAGCGACGCCTTATTGGATAGGAAAGACCGGAATAAGCAGCTATAACGGCCTTCGGCCTGAAGATAGCGATAGCAAGGCTGTGTGGAATCAATAGTATGACATTTGTATAGTAGTTCATGGGAGTAAGAGTGATAGGGCGGCTGTTTAGAGGCAGACCAAGAGTCTTTGGTGACCATACACCAGCATACATACCTAGGCGAGGAAGACGTAAGCGCAGGCGAGTGCAGGATGTACAGGTCTCACTTTTCCACATCTGATTTCTGGCAATTGCTGCATTCTGCTCAGCTACTGTATCTCTCCATGCAAACTGTATCCAGATGGTTGCCAACCCCAAAGTTGGCCGAAGAGCCTGGTGCTGTTGATGTCTCCCACTAGCGTCCGATAACCGATCAGGAAGTCGGCATCGTGCTCAGCAACGCTTACTTACAGGAACATAGACCTAGAGAGGCTGGGAACTGAGTATGCGATGCCGACACTCACCGCGCTAATATACATTTCCCTATTGCGCTGACTTGCCCCATCACGTTCTTGTCCGTCCCACACTCACAGCGCCTTCCGGACTTCCAAACTGCCGATTCCGCCCGCTCCGCTACGCCTCTTCTCCTCGATCACGCCAGTTTACATCCTCCATCGCATCGTCATAAGATCCGCGCTCCGATGGCTATCGGGCCTGTCGCACCACTATGCCGAAGGATTTCGATGGTTTTCGATGCAAGTTGCCTGTCTGGGATGGTTGAGTAGTGGTGGACCGATATTCGTCGCATTTCGGACGCCGGGCACCGAAGATTCGCGGCGTTCGGCGCTGGTGTCGTTCCACGCTCGGCTGGGGAGGGGAGTGAGAGGGGTCGCGGTTTTCGGAGATTATGAAATGTGTTTCTGGAAGATCGGGTGTGTTATTGCTTCTTCTACTCTGGGCGACGATCGAATGAGAGGCGAGACCTGCAAAGTAAGCTCGGGACATTGCTAGACCAGCGTAGTAGGTGCGTCCGCCCAAGCGTTCAGCAAGGTCATACTGTGGTTCATTCTTTCTTATTCCGTGGTACCGCGATGACTTATAAACAGCGAGTTGCTCACGCGCGTGTCCTACAGTCGGCGCAAACAAGCTGCTGCATGTGACCTCCACGTCTTCGCCATATAAACACGATCGCATCATGCTCGCCATTTCATGGTTGGAAAAGTTGTAGTTAAACATCATCCAGACCTTTAAAATCTTCAGCACCGGAAATCCTTGCGTCCAGGCTTCAGACCTCAGTCGACGTAAATGATCTCAAGGTCCTTCCCAAGACTCACTTTCAGCTTCTCTTCGATGTAGTCACGGCTGTAGAGATGAACCATGTAACTCGGTAGAATGACTGTCTCTAGCCTGGCACACGGCCGTTCAACAATAGACTCTCGGCGCACAAGATCTTGGAACAGCCCCACTGGGACGTTGATGACTTTGATCTGATGGCGCAAATCATGGGGTACATGCCATGCGAAACCATCGACACCGAGAAAACCCAAATTAAAGGTCGTGCTTGACCAAAAGTATGGAAGAGCTTCGTAGCGGCACTGCGTGCAACTTTGCGCTAAGCTCATAGGATGAATCCTCAACGTTCTGAAGTAGCGATGATAGAAGCCGCGCGCAGTAAGACATACTTCATTGGATTCGAACGCGTAGCGATAGATTTTGTTTCGGAGCTCAGCCGGAAGGCGCAGGAGAGGTGAGTTGTGCTGGTTTGCGGCGGTGCTATTAGATTATGTGAGTATGAGAGGAATCTCATGATAGGTTCGAGTTCCTACATGCTGTCGAGGTCCATATTCATCTGACGCGGTAGAGTTGACGAATCACTGGAATGATCAGGAAACTTCTCGTTGAGACCGCAACTGGTGACTGATCACAAAAGACCCAAAGATAATATCGGCAAGAGAAGATTGTGCTAGCGCACGAGGCTACCTAAGTACATGTTTCACCATGCCGTAGTTGCTCCGACGTACCAAGCTGTAGTACCTCGCCAAACCCTTCAGAGAAGACTTCACCATCACCTTCGCTTCGAACATACCTACATACGAAGATATCGATGCTTGCGAAGGCGGCGTATGTGCCAAAACCACCAGGAATCAATCATCCGGTCCAAAAGTGACCTCCACATCGTGACCCATCACCTTTCTGATACCATCCACAATGCCCTTGCGATGCCAGTGAGATGTATACAAGGACCATTGATGTATCCGTCTATAGTGAGAGAAAGCGAGAGGGAGTCATCATAGCGCGTGGCCCGCCGAATGTGACGGAGCATGTCAATTGTATCCATCAAGGCATGGTTACATTTATATGAGAAGATAATTGTGCCGACTTGCAGTCTTGGTAGTAAGTAAAGAATGATGTGATCTCGAGCTACAAAGACGTGCCGGTAGATTCCTAGCTATCTTCACTTCTGTCTTCACCTCGGCTGTTTAGTTTTACTCACGAAAGGGGTAACATAATACCAAAAGCTTCCAATCCGATGACACAATGACAAGCAGAGTCAGGTCTACGTGCGAAGAAAGCAAGCTGTATCCCCATTTGTCGCCCGCGCATAGTATCGCGAACCGTGCGTTTGCAGTAGCATCACAGCTATTGTGTCATTGAGAGTTTAACAATATTGTTTCGTGCATTACTTCGTCTTGCCCTAATCTGCTATATAGGATTTCGCCGTACAAAGTTGATAAGTGCATAAGCTCCGCTCGCCACGGCTGCTCCTCCCAGTGGACCCACCCAGTAGATCCAGTGATAACTAGTAAATCCCACGACAACTGCTGGACCAAAACTTCGTGCTGGGTTCAAGCTACCACCGGTAAAGTAGACACTGCACATCTCAGCGATGAATAGCGACAAGCCGATGTACATTGGTTTCGATGACCCGGCCTCCAACATGAGAATGCTCAGGACGAGTTGCGCCGTGACAAATGCTTCCAAGAATAAACCTCTCGTCACGCTAATCGATGCGTCGAGCTTTGTGTCGATGGTGAGGGCCCCAGGCAAAAGACCGGAGACGAAGCCTGCTGCGGCGATAGCAGCTATCATTTGCGCTATGATAGTTTGGAGCGCACGGTGCCAATGTATCTTTCGTGTGAGCCACAAGGCGGCAGTAACCTATGGATGATCAGATTAGTACTTGTTACACTGCATGTTCGTACAACCGCCACGTCTTGGCGATGTCGCAAATGGTGTTGCCCAAGTGCTGGGATATATGAGCACAAGTTGCACGGCTGAACTTACTGCTGGATTGAATTTACCGCCGCTGATGTCGGCGAATATGGCGACGTTGATAGCCAGGGAGACGCCAAAGGCGAAGGCAATGTAGAGAAGCTTCCCAACATCGGGAATCGGGTTCGAAGATGCCGTCAAGTCGTTGGTGCCCGCGGCATTGAGCGCGATCTGAGTACCAGTGAAAGCCAGGGATAGAAACATGAAGGTGCCGATTAGCTCTCCCAAGAAAGCTGTGGCCTCTGTACGTAAGACATGATGCTTCCTTCGGTCCTCCGAGGGAGGTGCGGTTGATGGCTCATGGAAGGGTAGACCAGAGTCTTTGTCCTTATCGTCGAACATGATCCAGTACGGGTTGCTACCAAGAGTGCTTGAAGAAAAAGGCCTCAAGGTGATGGGAGGTGAGAGCACAAATGAAAGAGAGGATGTTCGTTTGTAGATTGGAATGTGCTTCTCGAAAGCCATTATATCGCATCGCTGAAATGGGAGGAGTAGGGTGGGCACTGCCGATTCTCATATTCGCCTGTGCGACCCGGAAAGCCGTGCACGCTTGAGAAGATCATGGTTCCGTCGTCCTGGGGTGGGTGTTGTCTGCTTGAACCCGCACGAGCCTGTTGTTGGAGTTAGAATCCATGCAACGCGCCAGACCAGGAAGTGCTGATGCATTAGCGGAGTGTGCATTCCGACTGGCGTGCCGTTATAGCGAGATTGGGAAGTCAAGGTACGATAGAGCTAGAGCGGAGAAACGTCCATGAGGTCGCCTGACGGTGCGCCACAGCAACTCAAAAGTGATGAAGATTGTCGACATAGTTTCGATGGTATACACCTTCCCGATTGCTACTGGACTTGATGTGCAGTAGCAGCAGCCGAAGATGTTCTGTCTACTGTGGACAGGACCATCCATTACACTACGCGTCAATAGCCTCACTGTTGGTTTGGAAAGAATGACTGCGATTCCTGCGAGGAGGGTGTGCATTGAAGTTCGAGCGTTGCCAAGATTGGAGCCAGCAATGTTTTGACAGGTCGTTCGAAACGTTGGTCGCTCCATGATACTGCAGAGACGCGTGCGCCGCCCCTTAGTGGCGGCTTCAGAAGAATGTGTCAATCAATACTGAAGCGATGGTTGCGCAATGATGCCTGTCAAGTAGGCAGTGTTGGGTGCATGGACATCATGTAGGGTGCTGAAAAGTGCAGGTGTGACGAAGGATCCGCAATGAGCAACTAAACATCAGCATACGAACGTGGTATAGAAGAGAATTCCATGAATCCACTATCGGAGTGACGCGTGGCAGGCCTACACCTGAAGCCTGGAAACGACTGCGCCTTCAAAATCGACTCGCATGGAATATGGAGGTCTTTCTCCAAGCGCCGCTACCGCTCTGCGTGGGCCCAGTCGCTGGATTTCAAAGACTCTGTGCTGTCCACACATTTCCACTTCTGTCATTTAGTTCAGTTGTCGTGCAACGTGCTCTGGCCAAGATTGGTGTTGCTAAAGTTTGGTCCCGGTGCACGGGACTCGCGTTGTGTGCTCAAGCTGATCACCCGCCCACAACTAAATGTAAACTGATACTCACTGGGAGTACAGTGCCCTCGGGACAGCCGCTACCGACTAATGTGGGCATAACCTCATTGTTACTGGCTTTCAACCGCACGTAATCTCAATAAACCTCCGCATTCGATAGAAACATGCCCCTGCACTTGCGCGGTGCCTTCATGGACGTAGAAAGTCTACACAATCGACATCAGCCAATCATCGCCGCAAGCAATCTCATACCAAACGTGTCTTTGTGTTCAATAGTCCATTCCAAGGAGCAAGCAACACTGCAAGCTACTTCGGAAGCATGTTATCAGGCGTATCCTCGCTGCTGTTGGCCATGACGATTCAAGCACATTGTGAGCTTGTAGTTAGACATGCGCATCTACGCCACAGCGATCATTCGATGCAGGTCGGGGGGTGCGAGACCGTAATGGATTTCTTAGTACCGCCCTACATTTGATGAGGAGTTTCGGAGTCTCTGCAACAGCTTACGACAGGCTCGGGCCGATGTTTTAGATCTCGCGCGCCGTTTCACCCGAGGATCTTCAAAACAGGAGACATCACTGACGACTTCGAGAAGGCCGTTCATATGCGATGCGATCCGATGCGAGAGCTTCGTAAGTTTCTGCAAGGACAACACCCCGTTTGATATTTGCCGGTAGCCGAGTGCACCGGGAGCGTCCTGGCCTGAGTGCACGTCGCAGTTTCAAGGTGAACAAGACCCAGTATCGAGCATCAGCATCGAAGATGTATAGATAGTGTGCGAGGTATCGTTGCTGCTTTTGTACAGCCGCTCATCTTGAGGTGTATCGTCTTTGCGCGTGGGTGAGTTGGTTGGTGGGAGAACACTGCCGCTTACTAATGTGAATCCGGCACAGTAGGACAGCCAGAACCTTCAAGAAGCTCGCAAGAGTCGGCAAAAAATCGCAACGTTGTCAGAAGCAGAGAACAGGGCAGTGCAACACCCCCCTTAGTTTGTTGACGAGTTCATGGGTAGACAGGTATGAAGATGGAGTCGAGTTTCGATCCTTGTTTAACCTGTGGAGCCTTAGGCAGGGGCAAATTATCAGAATCGCTAGCGAGCCGCCACCGAAAACCAACCCGCATACGTGGAGATGATGCCAAGCACTAGGACTATCAGATACTTTGGTACCTTTGTCGTAGTACTACTCCTTGAGGAGTCTAGGCTGACCTCGTGATCGAGCACTGCAGTCGCTGCACCTTGACCCTTGATATTAGCTGTATACGTGAGTGCGTCGTGCCGTTCTGCTAACGATGTCGGATGCTGGGACATGGATATATTACATACGACACAGATCCAGTCAATGTCTGCTGTCGGTTGAGATGATGCTTTACGTTGCCCAGAGTATTGACGGCTGTAGAGAGAACGGCTGAGATGCGATATGCCAAGGCGACGCTATTGATCGTTGACGCTACTGGTAGCGATATCAGGGGACCGCGGACAACGAGAGAAAAAAACGGGTATCCATTCTCGCATCCCCCACGGACTTGCAACGCACGCGGCACAACACGTGCATGTTCTGGACTTGGAGACGCAGAACTAAACCGAGACCCTACGGACGTCGTTTTTAGCTCACAGACTTAGTATATTTCTCGGCGCGTGGCTTGGACGTCTACCAAATTTCTTTACATACTGACTGAACGAGTCAAGTGGCACATACAGACCTATCCTGTTGTGGTCTCCGTGCAGCCATTTTGGATATATGGCATGATTTTCTGCGATTCAATCAGCTACGCCTCGAGAAAGCCATGATTTTTGCATGCTTCAGCTGCGGTCACTCCGTACCTCATAGCGTAAACTTGACTGCATGGCAGTCTTGATGAACTAATGACTGGGTTCACCATGAGTATATAAACACCTTCGGAGATCAACTAGATATCCTTATCACCAGCAGCAGCTTCAGCTTCTTCAATCATTCATTAATTCGCTCAGTCACTCTTTAAGCTCGAGCACCGACGTTCTTTAAGTCTGCGTTCTTCATACGTTCTTTCTGCCGCTGCAGCGTTTGCTGTGGTAGGAGCTCAGGATATCGACTTTGCTGGAGTCGATGCCACGCCTGGTATGTTACCTTTCTGGCTAATGGATGGAACACTGCTGACGAAAGATAGACCCAGTCATCAACATCATTCCTGGCTTGAAGGAGCAGGTGGTTCCATTCAAGGAGATCGAGGCTATTGCAGAGGTTGTCTCTCAGGTCACTTCCGATCCGCTGGATGTCAAGCCTGTGTCCGAGCCTTCAGCTATTCCAGATCAAGCGACATCTGAAACGTGCAGCATGTGACCAAGAGCCCAGCAACCCCAACATTTACGGGATTGATCTATCGTCTGCCAGCAAGTTCCGCGCTGACACTAAGCTTGCCTCTCTTGCTAAGGGTGCTTCCACACCTTCCGGATACTTCAACACCTTCACAAACTTGCAAGGTGTCAGCAGTGCTTATGGGTACATGGGGTACAAAGTGGTAGAAAGCTACGACCCATCTCTTTGCGCATCCGAGTGTGACTCGAAGTCTGGACGTCTCAGCTTCAACATTTATGTGGAGCGTGACCCTTTGGCGAACCCGGGACCTGACTGCCAGGACCCCGAAGCTGTCGCCAACATCAACTGCTCTTTCTGGAGTGGGCCGGTCTACACCGACACGGCGACCAACACTGGATAATGGCGAGAGAAGTTCGAAGTCGCCATTGCTGGAAGTAATGGATACTCGTCTCTTACAACACAATCCGCCGAAGGTTACAAGCAAGTTGAGCTAAAGAACAGTGCCATCAACTCACCCCTCGACTGCAACAAGCAGGGATCATACATGGGCTACAAGCTGTTCGTTCAAAATGCATTTGATGCCAAGCTCTGTGCGACTGCTTGCAAGGAAACCAACAAGTGGGCACTGGAACATCCCCCCGCCGAAGGCAAGCCCCAACTCTGCCGCTACTTCAACACCTACATCCTGCTCAAAAACGGTGTTTCCCAGGGTCAATACTGCTCCATGTACACCCAGGAGCGGGACGCTTCCTTCGCCACAAATAACGGACAATACCGCGGCGATGACCACTACACTATCCAGTACAGCTTTGGCTTCACTGACGAGAGCGACGACGGTGTGCCTGTATGCCCAAATGACATCTCATACCTCAAGTCAAGCGGCCAGGAGTTCTGCAGCAGCTACATCAGTTATGAGCAGCCGACCACAACTGCGACCGCAACCGCTACTACGACGCCAGCCCCTCTGACGAATACAATCACAAGGATATCAACTTCCTACACTACTGCGATCACGACTGTCACTGCTGCCAAATTCGCCGGAAGACATGCTCGACGTGCGGATAATGGCACAGAAGTGTCTCACGATATCATTGTTGACCCTTACGAGATCTCCATCGTGGCTGTTCAAACCATTTCTCCCGAGGACGCAGGTATGCCAAAGCTCAACGACACTATGGCAGCGGAGCTCAATGGCGGCGCCATCGAAAAACGTGACCTCGCGACTCCAGCCTCTATCGCAGCTTGGCCCACCAGCAAAATCTCCGCAGCTTGCTCTCAGGTCGCTACCGGAACTGCTACAAGGACCGCAACCATAACTGCGACCGCGCCCACCCCACTCGCGACTGAGACTAAAGACTCCTTCCGGACTGTGGTTGTCGCTCAGAGCACTTGCACAGCTCCCGCACCCAGGCCAACAGCTCCTTCGTACACCAAGATTGTTGGTGGCGAGCCATCGGAAGGCGTGCCTATAGTACCTGGTCCTGCGGACGGCAGGCATTTCTACGAACAATTCAGCCTCGCGCTACCTTTCCCAGTCAAAATCTTTGAGACTTCATCTGCCCAAATTTCCATTGCTATCAGAGGATACATCACAGTCGGGCCGTATACATTCAATGCATTTGCAGACGAGCTCTACGTCTATGGTCCTGGTTGGAATCAAGGTCTGTTCTACCGTGTCGACGGCGCCATTGGCTCTCGCAAAATCCACTTCTCTTGCTTCACAGGTAGCGTCTACTGGGGACACGAGCGCTTCCACATCACAGCCACTTTTGACGAAGCTAGGCCTGGTATCCTTGTCAGCAAGATTTTCGACACTTGGAGTCAAGTCAATCCTAGACGTACGATCTCTGTTACTGGCAACGGCAAGAACATCCCCTTCGCTCAGTATCGGTCTACCAGCGTGCACGAGGGCCAGGAGATTACCTTCGATACTACAGGTGCTGGAAGCGTTTCAGCCAAGGACTTTGATCGCATTGACTGTTGCAAGAAGACGGGATGGGAGTGGCATGTGTGCTCAGAGGTTTAGGCTACAAAGCAGCATCTCACCCCACCTATTCATAGATCGATCGAGCTTCATATTTCCTTGTGTACATCCCAGAATTCACTAGAACCATGTCTAGTATACACACTCCAGTAATATAATATAATGTAATGACATTTGTGATCTATCATCGTGCTGTTTTCTTGTCGTGATCCTTCGTCTTCCGCTCGTGACTTGGTATATGCAATAGCTCGGTAGGGCCAGGCTGCAGATGGCAACACAGAACAATACGCATTCGTTGGTGGCCTACTGGTCGAGTATGTGTCCTCATCTTCGAAGCATCATTTTGGGTCGAACCGAGACGAGCAAGCGGTAAGTTCACCAATTCCTCACATGATGCAAGGAAACAACATGGAAGGAACCATACTAATCGAATTTTCAAAATCCAAACTACAATGAGATTCAGCTATGAGATTTCTCCTGTATTCGAGCGCGAAGACCAGAAGAAGGTGGGCTAGGCCAGGAGAGACGGAAGCTGATTTCTATAGCCAAATGTTGGAGGACCCAAGGATTCACGCTTTAGCTAACCATCTCGAGTAGGAAAGAGGGGTAAAAGGTCCGGCTGTCTGCGAGCATTCGAGTTAATGTAGCGCTAGCTCCGATACGGATTAGTACCGGCATCATGCCTCACCTGGGCAGGGGCCCACATGGGCGATATCCTTCCGCTCCCTTTCTCTTTTTCCAGAGCAGCGTATGCAGGGTTCTGATTCACGATTCACAGCTCTTATTGGTTAGACGTCAATCACGCACCTATGTAGGGAAATGCTCAACCACGCCTCAGCGCGCCAGTTATCTTGGCCATGGAGTTGCGATGTCGCATTAGGCAACCATTTTTTGCAGGGCGGAGCGAATGCGACCCCAAGATGGCGCAGCCAGACATGCCACTAAATTTCGATCAGCTAACATCACTCTTCATTTCCATGTATACTACTGAAGGCCGAACACTGACCAACTCCTGGTGACGCAAAACCATACCTTAGTTATGGTCAATTCGCCCATCTACCCCCATGAGCTCACAGGACGTACTATTCGCCTGCTTACCGTCGAACCAGGCGACCCAGAAACCCCGCTGCATTGCAACCTCACGGAAACATGTCTGGATACAACTCCGTCTTCTTACTACGCCTTGTCTTACTGCTGGGGCGCAAACCGCTCTCCTGTCCAGATAATATGCAACTCCCATCCTCTTCTAGTAACGCCCAACCTGCATTCCGTCCTGCTCGAATATCGTCGCAGAGCAACCAGAATCCCTCTTTGGGTCGACGCTATATGCATCGACCAATCTAATATCACGGAGCGCACATCTCAAGTTCGCATGATGGACCAAATTTACTCCGAAGCGGAGTGCGTCGTCGTCTGGTTGGGCGAAGCAGAAGCGCCCGATGAGATGGCATTGTGGGTGTTGAAAGAACTGCATCTGCCTTGGGCTGACTCTACAGATATGCCGGTGATGGAGACTGGTGAACGTGCTCTGGTATTAGATGGGTATTACGCCACGCACGTGCCGCAAGCGTACTGGAATGCGCTGGCTGCGTTCCTCTTACGACCATGGTTCAGCCGTATCTGGATGTAGGTTCCATACCCTATAGCTGAAGTTCAGTCACAACCAGGAATTTATATTGACGTACTGTAGTGTTCAAGAGCTTTTACTAGCACGTCAGGTGTCGATCTGGTGTGGGTCGAGAACGATTGACGACTTTCCTGTCCTTGAAACAGCCGCACGATTATCGCAGATGATAAGCTGCATTCATATGCTCCACGCCGGGGTGAAGGCGATGGCGTGGAAAGACGAAGACGCCCAGCAAGCAGCTGAGAAGAAGCTAGGGAATGCGCATGTTCTATTCATGATCAAGTATATAAGAGAGCGGGCAATGGGTGGTACACTGTCCCTCTTCGCGATGACTAGATGGTTTGATGCCACAGATCGGCGTGATAAGATATTTGCGCTTGTCAGTTTAACAAGTGACATTGATAGGAGCTTTGTGGACTACTCTAAAAGCTACGAGGAAGTGATCAAAGAACTTAATCTCATGTTCCTAGATGGCAGGATTGGGTCTATGGGTTGTGTGCTGGATATCTGGTCGTTCATCACACGGGCAGAGGAGGAGGATATCACGCAACCAAGTTGGGTCGTGGATCTGTTGAAGGTGCTGGAATCTAAGTACACAGCTATGATGACTGCATACGCGACTTATGAGAAGTCGATGATCGAACGTACCCCGGAGCTGCAGTTTGTGGAGAGAGACGGGAAAGAGGTACGCTCTCCATCATTTCTGATCTCTGCTCCAATTGACTTAGTTCTAGGTCATAGACATCCGCGGCACCGTTTTCGATACCATAACGCACGTCATCCGCTTCCCGACCGTGAGGGATGCTGTAGGCGCGACACAGCTCTCTTTCGAAGCCAAAAACGCACATGGGTATCTCGACTGGATCCAACGCGTGACGGATCTCATAGCACCATCAGGTGACCTCACAAAACCATCGTACAGCTCGGAATCTTCCAACATCTATCAACACGGCGGATATATTTTTGAAGCTTTTTGGCGCACTTTGTGCTGTAATCGTCAAGCGGTGGAACCAATAGAACCCCCTGTCGATTTTCTCAGCTACGATGCGTTTATAGAGCTTCTTCGTCTCGTTAGATGGCGCTATGAAATCCGTTTCAAAAAATGGTTGTATTTAGGCATAGCAATGGCCCCTTATTCGGCTCTAGTGTATCGCCTACGCAGGAATAAGCTCCTGCTGCCCGCTACTCTACTGGCTCTTCCCACTATAGTCCGCGTTTGTCATAGAGCTTGGGAGAGTTTCTGGTATGGCATGCGGGTCTATTACGAAGCTCAGCAAAAGGACTTCCAAATCATGCATCTCCAGTGGACAGTGGGCCGACAGTTTGGTCTTACAAGACTGGGAATGATTGGCATGCTGCCCATCTCAGCGAAGGTAGGGGATAGTGTCGGTTTCTTCGCTGGCAATAGGGTCCCGTTTGTTTTGAGGAGGTCTGAAGGAGGCTACAAGATCGTGGGCGATGCATATTTGCATGGGGTTATGAACGGGGAAGGAGAGAAGAGCGAAGGGGAGATGCTAACGATAGTGTGAGGCAAACCGCGCATCTTTGCAAAGTGTCAAAAACAGCTTTGCAAATTCGGACGAACGAGAGCGCAAAATGGGTAGCATACATGCAACTCAATCTAAAAAGCAAGAAACATCTCCCAATCTACTTGTCAATGTCGATCTCGTGTCCCCAAGCAGATTTACCTCGCTAGCCCAGACGGCTGTAGGATTTGATACCTCGATACGGATTCATGATTCACGAGATAGTACACAAAAACAGGGGGGACGACCCCAAGTATCACGAGTCACGTACGCATACGGCAGCACAATCCAGAATACGAAAAGTGATATATTATGTAAGCTCAAGGGGTTGTACTACGATGATCAACGGCAGAGTGTACATAAGTCAGGTCTCAAGGTAGCAATCAATGTACTTCGTTCTTTCTCTCTCGACCACAAATCATCGGCCCAATAAACTTTCAGCTCTGACTCCATATTATCGATTCCAACGTGCAAGACAAGACTGGCGATATGCGTTTCCCGACCGTCATCCTCCCTGCCCTCACCGGTCTCGCATTCGCCGCAGATTCGTCAACGTAAGTGCTCCTTCACGCATGTAACGCTCCATCCCCTTTTCTCTCATAGCCTCCATCGCTGTACTAACATCATATTTTCCAGCAATGTCTCCCAACCCATGTCTTCCGTCGCAGCCTCCCTATCATCCGCAGCCTCGTCCAAGGGCGGAGGAAACCATGTCGAAAATCACTTCAGCTGCTACTCCCAGCACCACGGGTAAGGAACTCCACTCGTCTTCCACCGCTGTATCGACGGGTGCTGCTACTGCTATCAACGCTGGGGAGGCGGGTGGTGTGGTGGTAGCCGTACTGGGAGCTATTGTTTGGGCGTTGTAGGTGCAGGCTAGTGTAGTTTAGGATGCACAATCACCTCACCGATCATAAGAGGGAAAAGAAAGTTTGAAGAGAGGATTCCTGTGTTCGATGGATGAGGAAAGGGTGGATGTATAATCGTTGGATCGCGAGAAGAAGAGAAAGAAGAGTTTGAATAAAACCATATCAGAATTCAATTCATTATCGAACCGATAGCTAAGCATCGTATGCAAATATCTTACAAAACCATTCCCTTGCCATATATATATATGCTACCCATTACTCCACCCGATGCATTTCATGCTCTGTTAGATCATCGTTCCATCCATCTACAAGATAGCGATCCTTCTAACCTGCACCTTCTGCGCCCTAGGAACGGTGACCCTGAGCACACCATCCTTGAAGCTAGCGCCCACATTAGCTGCATCAATGCGTTCCGGAAACCTAAAGGTGCGCTCAAACGACCCGTGGATGCGTTCTTGTTGTTGTTGTTGTTGTTGCGACTGCTCCTGTGGCTGTTGTTGTTGCTGCTGAACTGGTGCTTCAGGTTGTGGCTGAGTTGCTACCGCAGTCTCGGTGGAGGCAGGCTCTTCAACTGCCTTCTCCTTGCCCTTGGGCTCGCGGGGTTCGGTGGGAGATGAAGGGCGGGAGTTGGGGAAGTCGGCGGCAAGGTCTTCAAAGTCGTCCTCTACGGTCGCTTGGTATGACTTCTGGCTTGAGGTATCGCTGACGCTGACGCTGTCGGTATCTGGTGTCGCGGCGCCGGTCGTTGTAGTGTCGGCGTCGGTAGTGGTCTCGACTTCCTGTTCGGATTGCATGGCAGTGGGGTGTTGGTCGGCGGGAGCGGACGTGGGCTCGGCTTCGATTTGAGGTTGCTGTGCCTGAGATGGCGACGGCTCCGACTGCCAGTGGGTGTTGCCCGCAATCTTCAGCGTCTGTTCATCGATGACCTCGATGTTAATGTTATCTTGGCTGAAGCCCTGGATGTCGCCGTCTACCTGCCATCCCTGCTCGACCGGGTTGACTTGGAACTCGGCGCGAAGTGCGCGCTTGCGTTGTAGCTGTCGCTGGCGGTAGGCTTCGCGTAGGGCCTCGCGGTGTGCCTCGATCTTTGCCTGGCGCTGTGCTTCGCGGTCGATCTCACTCAATAGCTCATCGACCTGGCTGAAGAAGTTGTTGTAAGGCGAGTATTGGGGACGACGAGGCTGAGGACGAGCGACGCGGTAACCGTGTGAGGGTCGTGATACTGGGGCGCAGTAGCCAAAGGGGTTGCACTGCGGTGCCTGGTAGGCGGGTGCGAAGCGGGGGGTAAGGACAAACGCCATTGGTGGGATTGTTCGTTCAGGAAGAGAGGCTTGTTGATTGATGTGTAGAGTAGTATTGGTTGATGAAGCTCAAGAGTAGTTGTAGATGGGAGATGTGTAGATGTGCTGGTCTTTGAATCTGATGATGGGCCCATGGAGAGCCGCAACACATTCCTTTATAGACATGTTGGACCCGTTCAAGGCAGCAGTCGATTGCGTGCGCGTGGATGAGAAATGCTGATCTCGTAAGAACAGGACGATGCTGGAAGAGCGTAGACGATGCGCGACGATTGGTGATGCTTCGAGCTTTGTCACGAAGACGCGTGCGGGTTCGCGATGCTTCTCGAAGCTTCTACGTCATCTGGTGGCTGATATGGCTCGTGCACGCTTATGCAACGCCGCAGCCTCCCTCACCAACACTTCGACCAAAACCACTTCGCATCTTGGCACATGCGTCGTTGACATTGTCTCTCATGATTTCATTTATGATTCATCTACATTATCGCAAGTTTCCCAAGTCCATCCACACTTCCTCTAGGCCTTGTACCTAGCAGGCATCGCAGCCTTGAGCAACTTGGGGAAGTTGGGAGTGCCCAATCCGGAGACCGGGTCCCATCCCGCAGTAGCGTTCCAGCTGGCATATGGGATGACAGGGCTACCGTTAGGTGCGCCGTTGAATCGTGCGTGGCCGTCACAGCCAGTGCTACCACCAAGAACAATGTCGTTGAGCGCATCAGGGTTGGAGTACAGCAGGGGGTTCAAGAAACCAAGAGCAGGCTTCTTGGCCCTCAGGCGTGCGTCATTGAGGAGGGCGACGATACCACCGAAAGCAGGAGCGGAGCACGAGGTACCCTGGTATCCCTTGAGAGAACCCTTATCGTAAACCTAAACAGAGTCAGTCCATGTCTCGCGTGCAATTTGTAGAGGAAGATTTCTTACCCTGTAACCGACACCCTGGGCCGAGACGTCGGGGAAACCGCGACCGTGACGGTTGAAGTAGGGCTTGTTCTTTTCGCCGAGCTTGTGGAAGTAGGCCTTGACAGCATCGTCCTGGTAGCTGGGACGCTTCCAGTAGTCGGAGAAGCCGCCGGAGGAGAAGAAAGTAGCAGTCTCATTGAGGTAGCGGGTCGAGCCGACCGAGGTGACAAAGGGGCAGGCAGCGGGGTACTGGGGCTGGAACTTGGTAGTGTTCTTGCCGTCGTTGGAAAGGCAGGCAGAGCCAGTACCAGAGTCACCGGACGAGAAAATGACCGAGACACCACGGCTGCCGAGCTGAGCGAACAAGTTGCAGACGCTGAGAGCGTACGACTTGGGTACGCTCTGCTCGTTTTCGCCGTACGAGGTCGAGATGACCTGGGGAAGGTCCTTCTGCGGGAGCTTGAGCACGCTCTGGAGGAACTCAAGGTAGGGCTCGTTGGCGCTGTCCGCCTCATCGGGCTGGTCGAGATCAGCGACCCATGGGCCGCGTCCACCAGTGCTGTACTCAGTAACAGGCAGGGGCTGGGCAAGACCAAGCATGTACTGCAAATCCAGGTTGGCCTCGCCACTGTCGTCGGCAGAGGTTTGATCGTTCAAGCCGCCGTTGAATTGGACAACAGAAAAGTTCTGACCCACAGCCTCGGGCAGGATGTTCTTCTCAAAGAGGGCAAGGTCGCTGTAGCGCGCGTACTCCTCGAGGTAGGAAGCAAATGCTGCCTTGCTGCCACTCTTGGGGTCGGGAGTGTAGTCAATCTTGTAGAGCTGCTTCAAGCACTGGGGAGTGATGGAAGCATCACAGTTAACAGTGACGTTAGGGGAAGAAGCGAGCTGGATGCTGAAGATCTCGTGCTCAGTCTCGTGGTTCGCGCGGATAGCAGCGAAACGAGTGGTCGGTTGAACGAGGTTGATGTGCCCGGCAATCTCATCTGGAACGGAGTACTCGAGCGTGCGGAGAACCTTGCGAGGCGTGCTCTCCTCGCTGACGAACCAGGAAAACTTGGTTCCGAGGAGCTCATTGGCAACACCGACGGTGGTCTTGAAGGTTACCCAGTCGGCATCGGTCTCGAAACTCTCGATACCGGCGGCCTTGAGCCAGGCAGAGACTGAAGAAACGGTCTCCTCGCTGGGCATGAGCATGCGCTTCATCTCCTCGTGCGACTCAAAGTGCTGTCCGTACTTTGCGTTCGAGGGGGTGGAGATGTCCATGACGGTTTGCTCAAAGCCTGCGGTGTCGCCTTGCTGGAGCGCGATCTGGAGCTTGAGCGTGTGCGCATCCGATGCCGGGCCCTGAAGCTTCCATCCTGCTGGCTGTTAGCATTAATCGAAACTCAATGAGATGTATAGCTCACCCTCCGGAACCTCGAAAAGCTTCTCAAACGGCTCGGCGAAGGCCTGCATGGCCAACAACGAGCCGACGATGAATGAGAGCACTGGAGCCATCTTTGCCACAACCGATATTGCCTTGAGCGAAGGTAGTCCGAAGCGAAAGCGGATGAAGAAGCCATGAGAGCAGGACAGTATAGTACTTTTATACCGCTCCCGCAGTCGACTTCCGACCCTGCATATTGGATATCGACCTACCTCATGTAGTTTAGAATACTTAAACTGGCTCATCTCGCCATGCGCGTATGCGACGCGTTGAGCGGGACTAATCGTACCCAAGCAAGTGGCTAAGGAAGACAAGCCTCGGGGTGGAGTCCTTGACGAGGCTTGTGTGCCGGATAAGCTCCTTCTTGTTTTGGCCTTGGTACTGCGATAACATGACCGATTGCCCCACTTGGCCTGTTGTGATAGGTCGATGGCGTCCGGTGCGGGATCGCTAGCACCGGTTTTGGGCTGCCTGCATGGGATGGCGTTATAGCCGGACCGTCGCCTCGGCCACAGATCATGCAAGGCACATACGAGCACCTTCCGCTAACAACATAGTATCTGTGTGTAGAGCATGTCATTAGCATGCGAGATCCTTTTGTGCTGTCTAGCAAATACGAGTGTACTTGTTTTCTACAATCTTCACACCTAAACTAAAAGCTACAGCTCCTCGGATCCAATTCGCGGCCAGCACTCAATGGATAAACAACAGGCTATTCTCGAAGAACAGCACTATATGAGCGCCGATAATGCTCCGACTTGCGCCAATTCGTCAGATATACTTCTCATTCCGCGAAAGTACGCCTTGGAACGTCCTCTAGGCGTGGGCCATCGTAATGATTCATTTGAGGCCACGACCAACAATTCCTCCTATGACGAACAACATCACCTTCCTCTTCCAATCCGAACCCCCAATGCAACGGCTTATGTGTATAGTGTTGCAATTGCTGGGCCGAAAAGCCATGGTAAGGATACGTGGGTGACGGCCACTGTAAACCCATATCCCACATCGTCTGCCACATATATCGGTATAATATGAAGTTACATGTGACAGAAGAACCTTCATCTATCGAGCATGCTCCTTGACCAAATTGATACTTGTAAAGATTATCAGTAATTTGGGAGATCCTTTCCTCGATACTGTCCGTTCGCCGACGTTCAATACTTGCTGTTCAGGATCAGAAAACGACGAACTCTGTATATATCTTATAGTTCACTTACCTGAGACTTCCGGTGGTATAGGAAGGCCTAATGTCCGGAGAGTGCCCTCATTGCAGTAGCCAGCTGCCCCGTTCGTGGCATCCCGGAAGCGATATGCGTCTCGGAAGACATAAGAGACCCAAACATGGAGTAGAAGATCACGACAGTACTCAGAAGGTACATCTCCGTCGAAGGATTCCATCCACCTAGTAGTGAAGGACTCGACCGCATCCTCGCAATCATAGTAGTCTACGAGTATGCCGACCTTGGCCAATAGCTCGAGATTGGCGTGGCGTGGGATCTTACGACCCTGTAGATGTAGCATGTTGAGGAAGAGGAGAAAAGCTTCCTCTTCCCAGTCCTCTACTACGATATAGTAGCGGCCATCTGGCTTCTTGTATCCCTCACGAAAACCGTCTAGCGATAGCATCTTCCTGAATACCGGAGAAGCCAGGGTAAGATGGCGCGAAGAAACACCGTACAGTACCGACCCTACGGGAACGACCGGGATCGTATGCTCCAAGCTTGTAACTGTGATAACCTCGGTAGGTGCCTGATGAACTGTAGTGTCGTTCGTATTCGTGGTCTCTACGTCCTCGGCCGCCAGGCAGAAAGGAAGTTGAGCGAGTGCATCGAGATTCTCGAATGGCGAGTTATCCCACAAGGCGAAGTATTCTGGGTTTCCTGGTGATCGCAAGATGATAATGGTATCCGCATTCGGATCGATCTCGTGTTGAGCCGAAGCCATGATGTTTAGATGTGGGCAATGTGTCGGTTGAGTGATTGTGATTCGATGTTAGGAAGGGGATCTTTAAATCTTCTTTCGACTGCATAGGCGTGAGGTCTTACGTGGACCGCTAGTAACATGTTGAGTGACCAGAAGGTCGAGTGAAAGTACAATGCCCCATCCAATGATGAAGGCTAGGAGTACTGGTCGTATGAAATTGTCTTTGTCGAGTGAAAACCAGATGCAGTGGTACTAGGCTTCCATTGCCTGTCTCGAAAGATTATGATTGAATACAGGGGGGGCCCGAAGCTGTCGTAGAGGGGACGCCATTCACCACACTTAGAATGCGGATTACCGCCTTCATAAAGACCGTCTTCGATGGCAGTCCAATATACGTGTCCTGAAAGTTAGGAATACTTGAGGTCTATATGTGTTGAAAAGTTGACTAACTAAAGTGTATTAAGATCAGTTGTAATGTTCTATCTACGCGAAAAGTAGTTCTTATATCTCTTAACCCTTTCTTTGTCTTAAAGTTGAACTGTATAGTTGTTTGTCTTAGACAACAATATCTTATGCCAGACGCGTGTGTGAATAGTCGGACGCGTGACTAGAGGCAGAGCTGAAAATCTCCGGACAAGACGAACGCGACTGTTTTCGCCCGATGTCAGTACCGCGGGACATGAGCCGTGAGGTTTCAGTACCAGCCGGACAAAGGTATAGGGCAAGAAGATGCAATGCGATGTGTGAGTGGATGATGCAGGCTTCGGAGGCTGGGTGCCACATCCCCATTTGTACTAGCGCTGAGCACAAACCCGAGCCCTCAGATTCGCCAGTCTAGACTGCAGCTTGTCTCCTTATCGCCTGTTCGATACGCATCACATCACAACGCAAGCGATCGCTGCGACGAGTTGACCTACGGCTAATCCGGTGCCTATGACTCCTATCGTCGTCGTACTGCGCGAACGCGTAGTATACCGCCTGTTCAATCTTCGGCCCATTTGATACGTAAGCGCTTTCCGTTCTTTTTCGAGCTCTTTTAACCTGCGCGACATGTCGGCTTGAGAAGACTGCGATCCACTTGCTACTGAAGAAGATACAGCATTGGAGCCTCCATAAACGGTGTTGTCTGAGACAGATTGGGCTGTGCTTTTAGTTCCTTGTCGACAGCGCTCGATCTCCAATTGCTGCTCGATACGTTCTGCTGCTGCCGAAATAGTCTCGTCGTCGCAATCGATATACGCATCCCACGTCTTACGAATGTCGTCGAGCGTCACTTTTGTGTGGTCAATATGTTCGTCGACCGATCGCATGGTTCTAGTCATCTTGGTAACGGCGTCCTCGAGCTCACGCAGCTCTTCTCTTCGCGAAGAGTGAGCCATCTCCTCTATTTTCTCGTGGGCTTCTTTAGTCTTAGCCTGCAATGTCTCGATTGATCCTTTCAGATCGTCATATAACACCTGGCCGGCACCTGTCTCGTGGATGAGCCGATTCTCATCCACTAGTTCTCGCTGGAACGTTAGCGTTAGTCTTCTATCTTTGCTCACAATATGTTTGAGTATTCTCGCTGCGTCTACTTCTACGGCCGACAGCATCACTAGTTTGCCGCCACCCCGTAAAACATCCTGACGAATCTTCGCTTGGAGTTCCTCATGCCGAACTTCAGCTTTGACGAGCTCATCTCCGGTGACTTTGTCCCACATCGTCGTTGCTACGACAATCCCCTTGAACACCTCTTCCCCACACATCTTCTTGAAAGCACTCAACGCTCGCACAGCGGAACCTTGAAAGCGATTGTTCGTTATGCAATGTAAGTAGATGATCCCACTAAGTTTGATATCTCTCTCGTAAGCGGCTGCTAACCAGTATGCTAGTTCTTGTAATGTTTCGCCGTCAGACCGTCGACTGTCGTTAAAGCCAGGCGTGTCGATTAGATGAATTGTCCGTCCGAGAACGCTTGTAGTATGTATGGTCACTCGACTCGTACCTGTGTTACCAGTCAACGATCGGTCGGGCTTCTCGTCCACGAATATGCCTACATGATGAGAGTTCGTGGCCTGACAAGCGCTCTGTCGGCTTGGTGCAGTGCTCAATGAAGGTAGACTTGCCGGCACCAGTCATCCCCATGACTGCGATGAAAACATCGTCGGGACTACCCGTCGAGTCAGCTCTGTACATCCGAAAAGTGAGAATATACCAACTCAACGGGCTGCAAGCCTCCAACATCTGTGGTTTCCATCGAGGGCAATGGGTGACTGTATGGAATTGCAGACTAGCGAGTACAATCGCGTCGGACTGGAATTCAGTTATCACTCTGCTATAATCATGTTGCGCCGCAGCTTTCCTTGCGGCTGAAAGTAAGTCAAACCATGTATATACTAGCGACAAGGTTGAACACCAGGCTTCCATCCCGTTACTTCACAACCACCAATCAGCATCACACACGTCAAGTTGAGTGCGACGGGCTGTGCTGCAGGAATACCGATGCATATAAGACTGCGCCTCCTCGTCTAAGTGCAGTCCGTGCACGGGTGCGCCTGCATGAAGCAAGGTAAGCACTCCAGCTGCGATCGTCAGGACAGTGCAGCCTACTCGCAATAGCAACTTGATGCATTTGCACCTACTGCCATCAACTTGTCACATCGTAACGCGATCACTTATCACGAAACTCGTATTATCGTCATGTACGCATCATGACCAGTTACAGAAGTTCCTCAACGAGAAGGGGGAGTTTTGACGTGCCGGAATCGGCGCGCTCATCCGGGAAACCCTCCACCTCACTTCCCTCCTCGGCTCTGACTGTCACGGGCTTCAACAACAATGCACCGTCTTCTCAGTACGCTCATGATCCCAGATTGACTCCCTCATCTAATTTATTACCAGAGCGATTGGCATACTCGTTATGGGACTTACTGGTGCTGGCAAAAGTACCTTCATCTCACAGGTCACGCAGACAAGTGCAGATATCGGGCATTCGCTAGAATCGTGTACGTTCGTTCATACTGATGAGAATCCAAGCCTGATCGTGTCAAGGTACAACTGATGTCACCTTCCGAACATTGCAGCGAAAGAACGGCCAGGAAGTATATCTCATCGACACACCAGGCTTCGATGATACCAAATTGGAGTATGCGGCAGTCTTCCGAAAGATCGCTTCATGGATTTGTACCTATTGCGATGGCAATAGACTTCGTATAGGTGGAATGATCTATGTTCAACGGATAACTGACATGCGAATGTCAGGGTCTTCTCTCAAAAGCCTCCGAATATTCGAAAAGATTTGCGGCGAGCGAAATTTCCGGGATGTTGTGGTCGTAACGACTATGTGGGGATCCTTGAAGACAGATGAAGCACGAGATGCCGCAGTGGTGCGCATGAAGATGATGGAGGAACGACCCGAGTTTTTTGGCAACTTGATAAGAGCTGGAGCTAGGATGGAGAAAAGCCAGGGTGATAGTCAGAGCGGTGTTCGTATCGTCGAACTTCTGGCAGATAGGCGAAAAACGGTGGTGTTACAGTTACAACACGAAATGAGAGGCGGAATGAAACTCGAAGAAACGACAGCGGGCAGGTACCTGGAAGGTGAGCTTGTGCATACACGTGAAAGATACGAGGCGCAGAAACGAGAGCTAGAAGAGTGCGCTGAGGAAGTTCATGATGATGATGATCTCAGAAGCGAGTTCCTCGAGCAAATCGAAGACTGCACTCGCCTTGTGAACAACATCGTGGACGATCAAGGAACTCTTTCCGTCACACTCGAAGATATGTGGAACGAGCAAGCGGTGAGCTGTGGGGCGGGTCGCGACGACCAGGTCGAGGACACTACGCAAGAAAACACTTCCGCCCACATTGTTAAACTTGAGCACAAGATTCAAGGGCTTGAGAGAAGGATTGAAGCGCAGCGCGACGATCTCGACGCACAACGTGGAGAAATCGAGAGGATCGAGGCGGCCAGTAAGGAGATCGCAGAAGCTAAGGAACGCGACCAAGTCGCGCGTAATAAAGTGAAAGAGAGGCGAGCGCCTCATAATGAGGCGATTTTGTGGATGCGAGACTTCTTTGCTGGGAGACGCCCCGAAAATGTTGTACAGCCACCACGTCGAGCTGACTCCATGCCGTTGGAAACGAAGGGGTCTAGAAAGTCTAGCATAACGTCCTGGCAAAAGCGAAGCCGATCAAAGAGCCGCCAGACTCGTAAGCCCGACATTATGCGCACATCTTCAGAGGAGCAAACAAAGCAGTCCTATACCGCTTCGCACTATCCGCAAGGTCGATACACCCACGAGCCTGGATATTCTAGTGTATCGCAAAGTGACTACGAGAGCGGGATGGACAATTCAACACCTCAGATGTATATGCCATACCAGGCTCATTCATACACCCCTGTGGCTCTGCCTGCACCCAATAGTCAATACCAAGTACCGCCTCATGAAGTTATCATCGATCCCACTAGGACAATGCGCAATCCGCCTCCGGCATCGCAACCGCCTTTACGCAGAATCCCACATTCTGTTGCTTCGCCACACCATCAGGTTGTTGTCAGATCTCCTTCTTATCCCAGTAACGCGCCTGGAGACAACAATTACCGTGGGTAGTTTGGCAAGATTGGGACCATCTATTTTCCAGATTGGGCGTACAAACACAACTCTTCAATGACTACCAAAAAACTTCGTGCGAGTCAGTGTGACGTGATGTATAATGTAGCCATCCCTGGATGTGGAGTATCTCAGAGTCTCATCAGATGCATTCGTCTGATGCCTAGACTATTAAAAAGTTCTGGCTACAAGACACTGCCTCGCGTGGCGCAGTCCACGCATGGCATGTGGTTGTGAAGAGTGCCTTTGAGGTCAGCTACGCCATGCCATCTTCAAGGGTACATGTATTGCCCCACCAGGACCATGCGCATGATACGAGATGTGGGGGCTATTAGAGAGCTGAGAACTATCCGGTGAACTTCGAAGGACGGTTGCGCGATAGTTGCAGCGTGGATCCTGCGTGATAGAGGGGTAGATGCAACGGTGGTTCGTCACCCACTAGCCTATCAGCCGCACCTGTGCGCTGTCACTTGATGGCCAACCCGATGGCTTGCATATAGGCGAACGACACGAACGTGGTACTATCGAGGCGCAGTGCTGGTCCAAGCGTTATGTGAGTGTATGCATGAACCTGTAGTTCCCGGTCTAGGATTATATCTTAGCAAGTGGTTGCCTTCTAGCCTTATCGGCATTCTTCACGAGATGAGAAGCCCATATCGCTCGAACTGAAATACGATAAGTTTACCGCTTCTTTTTCTTCGTTAATCGCATCAATATTAAAGCAGCTATGAATGAAAGAGTGGACAGTCCTCATCGTGAGGTACCTGCCATTCCAGATTTGAAGTAAGTGCCAATCAATATTTTGGCGAGAACTGGCTGATCACTTTACACAGACCTGACGACATCATAATTGCTGTGATGGGTATAACTGGCTGCGGCAAAACCACCTTCGTTAATCTGTTCTCTGATCGAAAGCTCGAGGTTGGACATGGACTGGACTCATGTGAGAATCGACGTTTGTGGCAGAGACATCATCTCGACTAAGACTCTCCAGGCACCGTATCAGTGCAAGTTGTACCCTGCACATTCGAAGGTGGCGCAAAAATTTATCTTGTCGATACTCCAGGTTTCGATGACACATATCGCACCGACTCTGAAATCCTGCGAGAAGTCGCGCTTTGGCTGAACAAGGCACACTCTGAAAAATTGCGACTAGCAGGGATTATCTTCCTTCAACGGATATCAGACGTACGAGTAGGCGGTAGCGGAATCAAGAACATCAAAATGTTCCAAAAGTTATGCGGTGACGGCCCACTTGCGAGTGTGGTATTAGCGACCACAATGTGGGATATGGCTACAGAAGACGCTGCAATTCAACGAGAGAAAGAGTTGAAAGAACAACCACAACTCTGGAAGAGAATGATAGATCATGGCAGTCGTGTTTTCCGTCATGACAACAAAGAGACGTCGGCACTCAAGATCATTATATATCTGATGAGGAGGAAGAGACCCGTGACGCTCGATATCCAGCGTGAAATGGTCGATGAGAAGCGTGAACTAATCGATACGGGCGCGGGCGAAGCGCTAGCATCAAACTTGCAATCGCTCATGAAGCTATATGAGGGGAAGTTGAGAATCCTAGAACAGGAATTCAGAGAGGCCCGCAAGGAGGACCGAGAGATGTTGGAAGAGCAGCGAAGAGAACATCAGGAAAACCTTGCAAGGCAGCGGAAAGAGATAGAGAAACTACATGTCAACAGGTTGCAGCTTATAGAAGACCAGAAGAAGCAATTCGAAGAGAGCCAAAGGGAAGCTAAAGAAGAGATGCGGCGTGCTCAGGAGAATTTTGCTGCGGAACTTGAGAGACAGAAGAAGCAGATTAGAGAGAAGTATATTCGGGAAATGCATGACCGGTGTATCGTAATGTAGCGCTTAGAACCAAACGATTCCGTTTGCCTTGTTATCCGACCGAAATCATCCTTACCTCCTAGGTCTGGGCATACACAAACACACGTCAGCAGGAGCTGATGGTGTAGGACGCGTGCGATCAAGATGCGTTGGATTGAACGGGACACAAAGCAGCGTATCTGCGGCGCTCCAACACCCGCGACTGGCCTATGTAGCACGCCATCTTCACGCGCAAAAGAAGCAAAACCCGACCAACTCCGAAGGAAAAGATTTCATTGCATCAAAGAGCTTCGGAATAAACATATCTTCATGTACATGCTGACCTTCTATCGAACGTTCGAAATCTTGAAGCCACCCGGTACAAGCTTTTGGAAAACACCAAAAGGATCATACTTCTTTGCTGCCGCCTTCATCTTCTTCACATTCTCGGAGCCGTAACTGGCCAGCGGATCTTGCGTGTTATCCGCATAGTTCAGGTAGAGATATGGGTTGTCAGCGCCGATACTCTCAGCATACTCGCGAATCCGGTTAACCAGATCTGCACCTGCGCCTTGGAAGAGGGCATCTTGTTCTGCGCCTTGCCAAGAGATGTAGGGTTGGTAGACTAATACGCATCAGCCTGCGGTTATCTTTCGCTGTAGAGTCAAAGAGTGGACTTACGACACAACACTTGTTCGCCGAAACGTTCCAGGCCCAGCATGTTACCACCTTTAGAGGCGCTCTGCCGCCAGTACGAAGGCGGAAGAGGTTGGTAGAGAACATAAATCTGCCAGTCTCCCGTCGCCTTGGCTTTGAGGTTGGAGAGTACGTCCATGTAAATTTCATGTGCTCTAGTCATAACGCGGAGGTCATTGGCGAAAGTGAGTGTGCCAAAGTATACGCTAAAGATTTGGTTACCATCTGCTAAAGTAAATGTTGTGACAAGCTTACCTATGGGTTGTGGCACCTGCAAGCTCTGCTGCCAGCGACGACATGTTCCTGATTCCTGTGGTATCGGAAATGTTGCTAGGAATCGCTAGAAACTCATCGTAGGCCGCCGGTCTTGGTACTGGCTCAGCATAATCATACGCATTCAAGATCAAATCAGCACCAGCGGAGCTTTGGTATACCGGCATGACGATGGCCGAACCCTTGGGCTGTTTGTCGATGTTGTTGGAGAAATTGATGAGGGCCTTGAAGTGATCTTGTATGGTTGATTCCGGGTAGATGACAAGACCACCCCACAGGCCGTTGTAGTCGAAAGTACCGAATTTGAAGCTAGTAACGACGCCAAAGTTATTGTTACCGCCTTTGAGGACAGCAAAGAGGTCGGGATAAGAGGTCTTGGAGGCGGTCACAATACGACCATCGGCAAGAACGACTTCGAACTCGATCACGTTATCGCAGACCAAGCCCCGTCCTGGCGAGAAGTACGAGATACCACCACCAAGTGTAAGGCCGCCGACTCCGACTGTAGATGAACGCCCACCGCTCGTCATCACATTGAGAGGTTCAAGAACGTTGTATACGTCATCCCACGTCGCCGCAGGACCGACCTTAACGAGAGTGTTCTTAGCATCATACTGAACGGTGTTGAGGTAACGCAAATCGAGAGTGACGCCATCCTCGATATTTGAGGCTCCAGCGTAGGGAGTATGCCCAGCACTGCGGATCGCAAACTTGCAAGACTTCAGTAGACTGGCAGCCGTAAGAGTTTTGACAGCAAGTGCGACTTCCTTGGCAGTCTTGGGTTGGACGATGCAGTTGGGTGTGATGACTTGTTGCTTCACATCGAAGTAGGAGTCCTCCCGCGTCTCATACGCGTCTTGACCGGGGAATAGCAGGCGACTTCTCAGAGAAGTGAGTGCGAGGGCGGAGCACTGCCATTGTTAACTAACGTTTCGAATAGATTGAGCTCAGCGAGCAGCCTTACACAATAGTCAGCCTGCACGAACGGAGCAACAGCCGCTGCCGCCAGCAGAGTAACGATCAAGCGAGCCATTATGATAGTCAGCCCAGTAACCAAAGAGACGATACAAGGAGTACTGGATGATCGCGATCATAACGCAGGCTGCAGCACGGTTTTCTACTCGTTCACTCTCTCCGACAAATTTACAACATAACCTAAACAGGAAGGCGCAATCACTGCTTAACAATGACTCGGCATATTTAATGAAGATGGAATCTTGAAGGATTTCCAGAGTTGATTGAAGGGCTAGATGCTTTGGAGCGTTGGGTTTGCATTGCGAAGGGTACACAGCTGCCGGTAGTACCTCGGTCGAGTCTACAATTTGTTCGCTAAAACTGTGGCTTGCAAGGGTAAAAGGACGCGTGTTCTGTGATAGGTGCGAGGGTACTTACACGCGGCTCGGTCCAAAGAGCCAATTGGAAGATCTTTCCGCGTCTCTAAAGGAGCGGACCGCAAGGGGCTGTGGTTGAGGCGCAGGCATCTAGCTAGACCATCCGGGGAACTCCGGGCGACCAGAGTGACGGGTGCAATATCCAAGATATAGCCATCTCATCGAACGCCACATGCTTGGCATGCATCCTCTCCCATCATCCTTCCGCTGGAAAGGGAAACATCCGAGCCGTTGTTGCAATGCCAAGCTATTGCGCCCATGCGATGGAGCGGCGTAGGCATGATGAGCAGGTTCACAGCAGACTGTGCCGTACCTTAGACCAATCTCCTGCTTCGTGTCGCAACTTTACAACTTGAGCGATGCGGCACATAGGAACAACCCGTGCCGCTATCGGACATCACAATCATCAGAGGGATTCTTTGCGGCAAGGAACAGGGTGCAGTGAGGCGACGGATCTGTTGGTCGAGGAGACTTGTGAGACGGCGGAATGCGATAATCCAAGCGACGGGGATGATAATGCCAACTTGGAATATAGATGAGTGAAGACGACGCTTCGTTCGCCACGATGCGGATTTGTATCGAACTTTCATCTCAACATGGACATGAACCAGCCCATATTTTCGGCTCCGCCTGGTTACGTCGTTGATGTGGACAATCCTAAGCGAACCGGGGAAGCTGCAAATTTCTGGGTTGGTACCTTGGGCATGATTGTTGCTGCCATCTTCATGGTTATACGTGTCTTTACAAAGACAAGGCTAGCAAAGGGCTTTACGCCAGACGATAGTAAGCTCGCTCAAATCTCTCAGAACACCTCTCAAGCCTTCTGCAACGAAATCCAGTATCTGACGAGGTCCAACAGTAGCGTTGCTCGTAGCTTGGGTACGTGGCAGTACATTTTGCATAGAGCAGGATGTTCGTTGGATCTTGCTGACGACCAAGTCTACAGTGCTTCTCCATTGCTATCCAAGTTCCTATTCTGTGTATGTTCTGAGTTCTTTATGAATGTCAGGCCTGATCTAACCATACAAAAGTCCAATATGGCCGAGGCACTCTCGGCGTACACATCTGGGAATTGACTGGCCATAGAGTCAATTCTACAATGAATGTAAGCACCACACATCACTCTGATCAAGCGACCTCAACTAACTCATACCGCAGCTGATCAGTGTAGCAAGCATCATCTACTGTCCTTTCCTCGCTAGCGCTAAGCTATCTCTCCTCTTCTTCTACCTACGCCTGTCGCACATACAATGGTTCCGACTGTGCGTATACGCAAGTATGTTTCTTGTCGTCGGATACAACATTGCGCTTGTCTTTCCGCTCATCTTCGCATGTACGCCTTTCCGACGGAACTGGGATGTTACAATTACCGAGGGAAGCTGCATCGATAGGACACCACTTTATATGGCGACGGCGGTCCTGAATATGGCCACAGATATCTTGCTGCTGATTTTACCTATACCGATGGTGGTCAAGCTGCAGATGCCTAGGGTTCAGAAAGCTGGTTTGATATGCATATTCGGTGTGGGCTCCCTGTAAGTAGCAAGGCCAAGTGACGGAGATGGAGAGCACAATCTAAACCGCCCCAGGACATGCATAACAAGCGCAGTACGACTAGCTCTACTTTTTCCCATGCTTCAAACCATCGACCAGACGTGGGCGATCGTCATGCCAGGTATCTGGATGCAAGTCTTCCCCGAGTCCAGGAACCTCATCCTCGTCATATCACACATACTGACATACATCCTCTCCGCAGTCTCATCGAAGCCAACCTCGTCATCATCACAGGCTGCCTGCCAACAATGCGTCTTTTCTTCCGGCACGTCGCACCGCGTCTTATCGGCGAGTCTTCGCTTCGCAGTCGGTGCAGAAAGCAAAGTAGTACAGGATATGGGGGTGGCTCACATCACCAATTGGAGCTCAAGACCATCGTATCGACGGTTACGAATAAGAGATTCGAGTACGTTGAGGATGACACGGTGAGTATGGGTAGTGAAGAGAGGACGACGGCGGGCTGGAGGGGTGACAGGGACTCTGAGAGGGGCATTGTTGTCGCGGGAAATGCTGGGAGGATTACGAAGACGTCAAGTGTTGTTGTCGAGAGTGAGCTGCGGAGGAGTAGTTTGACAGATCCAAGGTCGAGTGTTGCATGCCTGCGATGAAGTTGGTGAATTGTGCGAGGGAAGCGGAAGTAGGCGGTGCGATGGAAGCCCGAAGCGCGCAGATCGATTCGGCTATATACGCATTTCGGGGCGCGTCGCGCGAAACGCGTCTTCGGTCCACACTATTGAGCTATCGACCATCCTTCTCGCATGTGTACCTTAGATCTGAGTTCATGGTCATCTACTCAATACGTTTAGAGCGACAAGGAGTTCCGGCTAGAATTACAGCTAGTCGCGTAAAGGTAAAACATCTATTTAGATGGAGCATCTTCTCGGGCAGATTACCTAATCCTAACCATGTCTTGTAGGATGAGACAGACTACTAGACATGCTTGGGCTTCTGAGCCCCGGGCTCGCTCAGATAATACGCCAAGTCCCCACCTTCTACCTGTCGCAGTGTTTTCCCGTTCCCAAAATATTCATATCTGTTTCTACTTAGATGTTGAATTTCGTAATCCTCCCACCTTGGTTTTGACATGATTTCTAGGAAATGTAACGAAGACCCAGGCCACGGTCCCCATACCTTGCCATCTTTCTTGCCATTCTTGTACCTGCAGCCAGGATCTGTCAGCCCAAGCGCTCAATGTTGTCTTTTAAGAGGAGTTTTGATTACCATGATACGCAAGCGCCTGTCCAAACAAGGTCTTTCATCAAGGAGTCCTTGTACTGCTGGAACTCATGCACAGCCTCTGGCTTTGGTGCCAATGATTTGATTCCTTCGTATTGAATCTTTTTGGCAGCAGCAAAGGCATATCTCACATTTGTTTCGAGGCAGGGAATGAGGCCGCCGTTGCCGAGTGGAAAATTGGGTCCACTCATAACTGCGTGGATTTGATGAATTAGCCAAGCGAAAACATATCTCTCGTTCCGACGATCTGGAGAAACTTACTGAAGTAGTTCGGTACCTTGGCGGCTGCAATTGACATATATGCAGTCGGCTCTTCTTTCCATACTTCGCGTAGATCATGATCAAAAGCTACCACAGGAAACCCAGGTCGAAAAGATGTGTCGAATCCGGTGGCACAAATGATAGCATCAGCTTCCAAGTTGCTTCCATCAGCCATAAGCAGGCCAGTCTTAGTGACGGCTTGGATGGCAGTGGTGACCACACTGACGTTGTCCGATGCAAGTGCCTCTAGATAACCGTGGCCCTATAATCAACTCTTAGACTCATTCCGATTCACTTTCGTCAAAGGAAACATTGACTTACTGGTGCTCCCCTTCTACAGCCAACTTCGAAATCAGGCACTAATAGCTCATAGTCAATATCTAGAAGCGAGGTCATAGATCCTGGGGTTGAGAATTTGCAACATACCTAACTTCTCAATCGGATCCTGTTTGTAGCCGAGCCGCTTTCGCATCAATTCTGCAAAATTATTGTATGCCCATTTCTGTGACTCGGAGTCTTTGTAACTCATATCGAATAACCCGTTGACGGTGGATTCGACACTCCGACGATATTCGAGAAATTCATCTTTGTTTGTCGCCCAGTTCTCTTTCTGCATGCCTGAGAAAAACGTATCTCGTCCTTCAGGAGCATGTTCTCCAGCCCATTCAGCAGTAATCCATATTTTGGATCGGTTGATGGAGACCAAGTGTTTCACCTCTAACAGGGTTGGAAAACAAACATTAGAATAGTTCAATCTCTGTAGAACAAGACTTACTTGATTGAAGTTGTGGCACAAGCTGAATGGCCGAGCTGCCAGTCCCGATAACTATGACTGTCTTGTCTTTGAAATCGTAGTCAGAGTCCCAAGAAGCCGAATGCAGTAACTTGCCACCAAAATCATGGAGTCCCTGGATCTCTGGCCATTTCCAGGAACTGTGAGGATGGTCAGCGAGGCTTTAGTCCAAACGTGCTAGGAGATCACCACTGACTTTAAGAATCCCGCCGCGTTGATCAAAATGTCTCCCTCATCTTCAAAGCTTGAGCCTGTACTAAGGTCCGTGACATGGATATTCCATTTGCCGCTCTTATCGTCCCATGCGGCACTGTCGACACGATTTTCGAGATGTACAAAGTCGTTCACACCGTACGCTATAGCACGACCTTTGAAGTAATCGAATAACTCAAGGGCGCCTACATAGGCGCGGCTCCATCTTGGATTGCCTTCCCAAGAGTACGTGTAAGCATGAGCAGGAACATCGCATCCACATCTTTGATATCGAGTCAGTAGGGAATCGGTTAAGACTAGGTGTTAGGATCTTCTTGGAAATTCGCAACTCAAAGTGGTGAAATATGTGACGTAGCATCTACTCACCCCGGGTAGCGATTCTCCAGCCAGGTGCCTGTTACGTCGGAGTTCTTCTCGTAGATGACAAGCTCCATTTCATTGCTTGGAAAGGTCTCCTTGAATATCTTTACTGCGCCGATCCCGGTCAAACCAGCCCCTACCATGAGGATGCGTATCTTCCGGCCCTTCCCCAAGGGATTTGGGGAGTACTGGAATTCTGTATCGGATGCTACAAACTTTTGCATGAGTATCTGAGTATCATGTGATGTCCAGTAAACCTACTGTTCTTCTCGCTTATTACAGCCATGGTGGAAATGTTGAGTAATACCAAGACGAACTCTGAGTAGTAAAAGTATCAATCAGGTACAAGATGTGTTGTAGCAAAAGTCTCGCGAGGAGCAACTGGGTTTTAAACATGTTATTTGTCTCCATAGTATTCTAGGTGAAGGCCAAGTGTGATTGCATCCCAGTCGGTTGCTGCCCGGCCGAAGCCGGCACGACACTGCTCCGAAACCACAACATTCTCCGCTCCTGCCAGATCCGATTCCACGCTGAGGGCACAACCACTCTGGTTCCCGAATATGCTTACAAACGCCATGAAATCTTGACTCTCTAGCTCATTGGTTAGCCACGTCGTTCGTTTGGAGTTGTCGGAGTGGAGCGATCTATGGGTGGCTGGAAAGTCGCTATCAGCCCAGTCGAAGATTGCCAAGGAAGGCCGGAGTCGGGAAACCACAGCAAAGTCCGGGTTTGTAGCTTGACGCCATGTGGACAAGTGACAAAGTAATCACCGCTTCTCTGACAGCATTTTTAGTTGGGAAGACCAGCTAGATCAACACATTGGTACTGAATATCAAAGCTGCAAAAGGTACCAAAGCATAAACGATCTTCCTATATACGCAGTATGGTAAGATGAATCTTTCCACGTTGTTTACATGCAATATACGGACTGCAACTAGCCGGAACGGCTCTCTGAAAATAGGACGCAGTGCAACAAGGCCCTGAGATCTTTTTATGCATCCTGTTTGCTAAGTGATAGAATAACTTTCGTCAGATTCCCTGCGATGCCCCAGGTCTTGTGACGCTTGAGTAATGACGCCGTCTGGTCCAAGACTAGCCGTCTTCCGGTAGGGCAACACAGTGATGGGACGCCAGTGAGACTAATCACCGAACTTCCACCAATTTCCAACCATCTCATGAGATCTGCGGACTCCTCAGACCCGAGCTTCTCAAGCTGGATTGGGGAACCAGGACAAGGGGTACAGCTTCTAGGCAGTAAAAAAGACATGCAGGACAATATAACTCCAGCGTGAAATAAGAGAAATGATTGCACGGGCATCAGAGATGGGTAGTGCCTCACAAGACCGAGGATCTGTGCACTATGATAAGTTACCTCCCTAGTCCGTCTGTGATCCTCGTTGGCCCATCTTAGCATTCGGGTCTTGACTGTGTCTCTTTCGGCATCGTTGCGAAGGTACGGAAAAAGCCAGTTCATCAAATCGCCGGCACCATAGATATGTGCAATATGCGCCAACTGGGTGCGGTCCACAAGCCGCTCCATCTCAGATTGTGTATGAGAATCAGCCATAGTTAGGATTGGGACTTTGATCTGATCCATGGCATGCATCATCGCCTGTGGCCCATTTTCATACCCAAGTGGTCTAGCCAGGTCTTCGAGAGGAAATGATCGAAACTCCTTGATCGACCATAGCATTGAGAGAAGCATCAGTGCGATTATGAGCAGATGCTCCTCGCTCAGGTTACCAGCTGGGTCTGGACTACCGTCGAAAAAGGAAGCCAGCTTTGGTCGCAGAGGTGAAGTTATAGGCACAGACTTGGACCATGGATGAAAGCTCGCCCAGACATCTGCGTTCTCAGCCTCCCAGTGCTCCCTTGAACCCGGAAGGTTGAGGTTCAGATCCGCAAGACCCAAAAAAGGGCGGTTGTTGTGAAGGTAGGCTACCGATGAATCGTACTGGAACACTGCCCATCCAAGACGCCGAGATGATTCTGCACGGATGTAATTCTGCCATTTCTCTTGTTTCGTGGCTCCCAAAGGTGCAGGATTGTTACCCTCGCTACGGAACAGACCCATGCACTTTGCGTGGTAGATCAGACTGTGGCGACATGACTCGCTGTGTTCAAACAGGCGCTCACTTCCGCTTGAATAACCGTCTTCATGGATGACTGTCAGTCGTTTGCTAATTGAATATTTCTAGCCAAAAAAAGAAAAAAAAACTTACGAATACCCTGGAGTAGCTGAGCCACTAGATATGATTGCGTCCGCACAAAGCGGTGGTCATGAACCGCCATGAATAACAACAGACGACGATTAAGCTCGGACAATATGATGGAAAATAATCTACATCCAGGTAACTGTGTGTAGCAGGCTCCTATACATATCATCGCTATGGTAACAACAAGATCCTTGGCAGGATCAAATGTCGGCTGATGTATGATAGAAACCATGGGCTGAAAATGAGCAAAATATAAATCAATACACAGATCCAGCTCATCCTTTGAGGGAAAGTTCCTCAAGTCTACAGTCTGCAGCGTGCTGTGCTCAAAAGGAAGTTGTATACATCGATGTAGAGCATGCCAAGTTTGGTCGTTAATTGGCGTCACATTGAAATATCGCCCGCATGAGTGTGAGGTTTCTTGGGGCCGGTCCACCAAGGGAGGAAGAACGATGTGCTTTAGCGGAGGTCTAGTAACCTCTAGGGGCCAGGGATCCCCGTGGTCGCTGTTGTCTTGTGGTTGTGGAATGAGGAGACCACCCAACGGCCCACCTTCAACAGAATCGTCAATGACTACTGGCATCGTGGTTGATTGGGTCAGAGTCTTTAGGACGGACATTGGTAGTAGCTGGGATGGCGAGTCTTGTTGATCATTGGCGGTGTTCAGAAACATATCAGGTTCGCATTCCTCTATGCCGCAGCTTTCGAAGATCCAGTCGAAATTCGTATTGAAGCCAATGTTGTCGAAAGGCATGAAGAACAGGTCAGGATTGAATTCGTTTGAATGGTTCAAAATCTGATTTGTCGTGGCTGCCAGGCCGGTCTTTGGTGAGTGCAAGTCGTATCCGATCTGATTCGTTATGGACGCTGTCGATTGTATCCCACCATCTGGCGGAATCGTGAAAGAGCTCATACCCTCGACTGAGGAAGCACCCGTCGGTGATCGAGCTAGGGCGTAACGGTCATGCTCAGCGCCGATTGGAGGCAATCCGATGCTATCGCTTTCTTGAGTTTGTCCTTGCGAAGGTGTGTCTGCTGTGCCAAAGCTACAGACTATTTTTCTTCGCGCACAAGACGAACATGTCGGCCGTGCTACGTCGCAGCGTGTCTTTGACTGTGCGCAAGGCTGACAAGCCCTCCGTCGTGCTCCAGGTGGCGCGCGTCGCGCATCATGCACGCGCATATGCCGCGACAGAACGTCTTTGCGATCGAATGGCCGATGGCATATATCGCAATGGTACCGAGCATGTCTTTGAGAATTTCGGATGTTATTCCGTGCCCTCGCGGACATGTTCGAGGTTCAGGAGAGGCGGATAGATGCAAGGAGAGATACAAGAGGCATCAGTAAGACAAGGTCGGAGAAATACACTGCTGGTTGATGGGCCCTCGGTGTATTAAAACAGCGGGTCGTTCCGTACTTCCCGAAATGCACCCGTCTACTACTCCCCTAGAGATGACTGGTTCTACCCACTTGGTCCACGTCTCCATCCATCACGATGATTACTAATAGCAGAAATTAAGTCCCATGATCGTCAAGGATTAAGTAACCAAATAGACTCATTTCTACATCTATCTACACCCACTACGCATCTCAAAAACGATCCTTTCGTTGCGCAACATGAACAGCCATAGCGCATAAACGCAAAACATCATGGTATCTATCATGCTCTGTATCGTATGGCATGGCATCGCAGTCTTCCCTTTTGGCAAAAAAGAGCCAAAAAAAAACGCCATATGTACCCAGACCACGCCTGCGCTGGAGATCCCCTAATCTGAATCAAACGATTAGATCATGAAAGAAACATCGCCAAATATGAGAAAGAAACGTAGATCCGAAAAGAGAAACCGTTGGCACCAACCAAAACCCCCATCACTCATCTTACTCATTCGCCTTCTCTTTGCCACTAGCCATCCTCGCACTTCTAATACTAGTCTGCCTGGCCAGACTTGTCTCACTACTCTTCTTCCCTCTAACCTTCAAACTCTTGATAGAATTCGACGGAGAAGGTCTAGGCGACATTCTCGGTGTGCTGCTTCTACCCTGGCTCATTTGCTCAAAGCGGCCAGTGAGATCCTTGACACTTCTTGTGTCTTTGACTCCCCTGCTGTTGTTGTTGTTGCTGCTGCTGCCGTTGCCGTCATCAGCGTCTTGTCCTACAGACAATATGCTGTTCCCATCAACATCCGCATTGACGACGCGGAGTTTAGATTTCGGAACCGTAAACATGACTTGCACGACCCTCCTCTCAACCGCAGCTTCGACATCCCAGTCCGCCTCGCTAGCTGGCGTGCAAGGCCTACTAGTACTCTCACTTCCTCCTCTTCCTCTTGGCACACCCAACTGCTCTCCTTTGATAGGCGTCCTAGTAGGCGTAGGCAACCTCTCCTCACTCCCCACATTAACAAGCAGATTCGCACCCCGTTCTCTCCACTCTTGCCTCGCGCGTTCCCGCTCCGCCATGGCAATGTCTTCCGGTGCGCCCCAATCATCGCCCGCCGTGCGCCGCCAAGCTGGATCCGTTTCGTCTTCCAACCAATCCTGTTTCCCTCTTCTATTTCGCCAGAAACTAGCATCCGAGGCAGCTCGCTGTGGTGTCGCCGTTGTAGCAGGCATGCTTTTCCTGTGAACCGGCGTAGACGGCTGCTCAACGGGATCGTCTCTGTACGGCTCTTGTTGCACATCCTGATAGTTCATTGTCGCAGCAGTCATACTCCTCGTCCTCTCAGCACTACTCACACTCCTCGTCAACACTCTCCTCACACTCCCCAACCAGCTCATCCGTCGTTCCTTGGGAGCTGGACGGGCAACGGTCGCGAGGTCCATTGAGAATGGTGTTGCTGGCGTAGCAGTCGCAGCCCGACTATAACTACCGTCTGTATCGCGATGAGTTGTCGAATCACTCGAACCCGTGTCTGGCCTTGCTCTATTTTCTGGGTTTCCGCCGAGAAGTGCTTCGCCCTGGGCTTGGAGATGTGCGAATGAGGATTGGGGTGTATGAAAGGAGTCCATGTCGTGGTGACCATTGTTGCGCAGACTGCTGAGAGAGTGCGTTCGCGCATGGTCTGGAGA